TTCTACTTATTAAGGCCCATACATTATTCCATACCAAGGACTATACGGCTCTCTGGGTCTCTTGACAACAAGGCTGAAGTCCTAATTTCCACAATATCAACCTCGAACCCAGGACTTTTCAGTGAGCTCTAATTGGTTCTCTGAGCTGAAGATGGAACGATGAGTTCAGGGCTTGGGGTTTCAGGGTTTAGGGGTTGAGGCTTTAGGGTGTAGGAGTTTAGAATTTTAGGTTTAGGGTTTAGGGTTATTTCGGGTTTAGCAATGTTGAATGCGAGGCAAGCTTTAGGATTTGGGGTTAGCTGGGGTTTGCTTTGAGCATCGTTCTGAGCCGCACGATCCCCACATCCTGCATGGACCATGTCTGTACACTTGTTGTGTTTCTGGTGTTCATGGTTGTGTTCAGGTTGTAGTGCTTGTATGTGGGTAGGTCTCTCAATTCGGGTCCCTTTTATAAGGGTGCCGTATTGCCATAGATTTCTCCAGAAATGTTGGTATTTGTTCCTTCCGAGTAGAGGAATGGTCCTCAACGTCTCCAGCGCTCCCCGATCAGTGCACCCGACCCTGCATTGGCTTACTAGGTAGGCCTTTGGGACATTTGCTATTTTCCTTATTGGGCTTAAGCGGATCTTCTTTACGAATCTTTTCCACAGGCTTTGAGGGGCCAACCTAGGCTTTGTTTCGGAACGATGTTTCATTTTGAACTCGAGTATGTCCTCGGCGGGGTTGCAAAACACGGTAAACAGAGCTGTAAGCAGCTTTAAAAACAGTTAAGAAAATCGCCATAGCCAGTTCTGAAACTTGCGAAAGCCTTGTAAAGTTCATACCCAAAGCCCACAGTTCGATAATAGCTAGAAAAGGTCTATGAACGCGTTTAGCCACCCCGCTCCTTGAGCTGTTCTCCTAAGCCCTGAACCCTAAACCCCAAAACCCAAAACCCTCAAACCCAAACCCTATACCCTGAACCCCTAAACCCTTAAACCCTAAACCCGAAACCCTCAACCCCAAACTCTAAACCCTGAACCCCTAAAACCTAAACTCATCGCAGGCCGGACGCAGCAGCAGCCGCAGTGGCTCGCCAAAGCGTGCCGAACTGCCGAGGTTCCTATGCCAGGAATCATTTGGGGTTCAGGGTGTAGGGTTTGGGGTTTAGGGTTTAGGGTTGGGGTTCAGGGTTTACGGTTTGGGGTGCAGGGTTTAGGATGGTTTTTTTCAGTAGGGTGAGTCAAGGGCGCTTGCGAGGTCTTTTGTTCATGGGGGGCACAGGCTTCTATCACAGGGTTGAAGCGCAACCCACAGGGGTCCCCTCGACGGAGTTTCATGGAGGGGATGGATTGCCAACGAGACTAGCATGGAACCTTAATCTAGGACATTCTCAGGTGGGTAATTGCCGTTCTAGGAGCCTTATAGAAGGTCTATATACCTTATAGAAGCCTTACAGAAGCCCTATACACCCTAAACTCAAAATTTAAAAGGAGACCATTTTGTCCATGCTACGCTAGCAGGGCTGTAACGGCGCCAATTGGATTCTGAGGTTTTTCGTGAATAAATACTGTATAAACCCGAGACCCGAAACCCTAAATCCTAGGGCCAAACAGGGTTGGCTTAGGATAAAACTTCTATCAGGTTCCTAAGTACCCTTAGTACCCTTTGTTGGCCTTCTTATTGTAGGGTTCCCGTATCGAAATTGATATAACAGGTACTCTTGTTGTTACAAGGTCACTCCGTAAACCCTAAGCCCTAAACCCCAAAACCCTAAAACCTAAAACCCTAAAACCTAAAACCTAAAACCTACACCCTTAAACCCGAAGCCCCTAAACCCTAAAACCCTAAATCCTAAACCCTCAGGAACTTAGACTAAAGAGCTACGTAGGGTTCAAGAGCTTCTCCAACAACTCGACTCAGAAGCGAGGCCCTGTCCGAATATCCTCTGCAGTAGAAGCACAGACGCATTCCATGAAGGGTCCTAAACTCCTAAACCCTAGATCCCTAAACCCCCAAACTCCTAAACCCTAAACCCTAAATCCCTAAACCCTAAACCCTAAACCCTAAACCCTAAATCCCTAAACCCTAAACCCTAAATCCCTACATCCCTAAACCGCAGACCCCAGACCCGAAACCAGAAGCATTCCATGAAGGGCCTCGAGCTTAGGCTCCAAAGATGTCCCTCTACACACGAAACCGTGGGTGGTTCCCCAGACCGGAATCTTAAGGTTCAGGGTTTAAGGAGTTCTAGGGTTTAAGGAGTTTAGGAGTTTAGTGTTTAGGGTCTAGGGGGGTTGAGGGTTTTAGATTTTTTAAGGGTTTAGGGTTTAGGGCTTAAGGAGTTTAGGGTCTATTAGGGTTTAGGGTTTAGGGTCTAGGCTCTGCAGTAGCAGCCAGAGAGTTGGAACATCATTACCCTGATTCGGTTAAGGTGCAGCATAAGGAGTCCCAGCAAGTAGTCATCCTCAAATAGCATGCTCTAACTTTCTCAGGTTCTCTATAGGGTTTCATGAAACTTCAGCACTCTCTTGACTCCAAGACGAAGGCCTTCGCCGTCACCTTGTCGCCGCTATCGCCTCTTCTGATGTGGGAGTTTCCGAAAATAAGGGGTACCTTATTTGGGAGTCCTTAAATAAGGATCCTACTATTTAGGGTGCTATATTAGGGTCCCCTATTTTCGGAGACCCCGGTTTGCCTCCTGTGCTTGATCTGTAAGCTCGAAAGGTAGAGGTTTGTGGCTTTGGAGCTGTAATCTGGGTGTCTGAATGATTGGCAATCTAATGCCTTTCAGTCATCTACGACAACATCCCAACAGTGGGTACAAGCCAATTACTAGATCCCTCACTGGTTCCCTTTTGTATCACCACTCTACTCGTATAGGTACAAACACGGGGGGTCCACTTTCAAGATAATTCCTGGTAAGTAGGAGTCGAAGAGCCTAAACCCTCAACCCTCAACCCTAAACCCCCTAAACCCTCAACCCTAAACCCCCTATGCCGTAAACCCTAAACCCTAAACTGTGGCTCTGGTTTCCTCAAAACTTCGGGCCTCATCAACTTTTGCTTTGGGTTGCAAAGGAAAGAACTTTCCTTCAAAAGGAGCCGCTGAATCAAGATTATTGTGCGGTAAGGGTTCCTCATGTACTTAGAGTGTGATGTACCCCAAAACCCAAAACCCTAAACGCTAAACCAACACCCTAAACCCTGGTGGTCTAGGGCAGTAGCAGTGGTGTTGTAGATCCCTGACTCACAGCCCCCCCTCCCCTTTAGGCCTTTCATTCAGGGCCCTGATTTGGAGCTCCCCTGGAGCTCCTGATTAAGGTAGCGGGATTTAGGAGCCAAGGCTCTTTATCCGGCTACAGACCTTCAGTCGGTCGGATCTTGTCGATTGAGGGTTTAGGGGTGTAGGATCCTTCACCTAGATTTGCACTGAGTTCCATTTCGTAAAGCCTGCATGTCTCAGCAGAAGAATCTCTGCAAATGCCTATCGCCAGCCTATGGCTGTGAGTCTCAATAGGAGTTCGAGTCTCTGATGTGCTGCACGCTTGATAGTAGTTGTGTGAACCTTTAGTTTACCTATGATACTGGACAACTAAGGCTTGGCTTTCTAGAAGTTCCACCAAGTTGTGCATTAAGGAGCCCTGAACCCTTAGCCTCGGAATCCTAGTTAACCAGGGGATGTTGCAGTGTCTGAGATCGCGGTTTAAGATTTGGGAACATGGCAGCTTAGATTGGAGAGAGGGACTTATGGTGTGAGTCATAGGATGGACGCAGGGAAAAGGCCACAACCCCTAAATACCAAATCCCAACCCCCTTATAAGCCCAAACCAGAATAGAACTCCTAAATGCTGATACTTAAATGCCGGAACCATAAACCCTAAGCCCTAAACCCTAAAGTTTAAAGCCCAACCACAGCGTATCCGTAATGAGGACCTCATAAGGCCTATGTGAGAAAGTATAGTCCCCTACGCCTCCTCCCCCTTCCCCCCCCCTTTATAAGGGTCCCTAAACCCTAAACCCCATAAGCCCCATACCCCCCTTTGTAAGGGTCCCTTTAAAGAGACGCCTCGAACTCCGGACCAGGGTCCCGCAGGGCTCATCAGGAAGCAGCCTCATGTTCCTGAGGGTCTAAGTCTAGGACATTTTCAAACAGGTTTAGGGTTTATAGGGTTTAGGGTTCAGGGTTTAGGGTTTAGGGTTTAGGGGACCCCAAGAGGGACAGTAATTTGGAGAATTACCCATATACTAAGGCTCTGTAGATCCAGGTCGGGTATAGGATTTAGGCGTTGGGGTCGCGGTATATGTGCTATTCTTGCGTCTGGGACATTTTCAGGTGGGTAGTTACCGTCATAGGAGCCTTATAGAAGGTCTATATACCTTATAGAAGCCTTGAAAAGCCCTATATACCCTAAACTCCCCACCTGTAGTTTCCTTTAACCAAGACAGGTTCCTCAGTAGTACCCTTTGCCCTTTTTATTTTAGGGTTCCCTTCTTGAAGCCGTACCAGGAAAAGGGTACCGTTATTAATAAGGGGACACTGCGGAACCTAGTAAAACACGGGCCCGTGTAGCACTCAGTAATCCAAGCGCTAAACGCCTCAAGCCCTAAACCCTAAACCCTAACACTAAACCTGATAGAAGCGGAGAGCTAACGAGCTCCTATAACCCGAACCCTAAATCAGGGTTAGGGGTTTTAGGGTTTGAGGGTTTAGGATTTAGGGTAGGGCTCAGGGAATCCTAATATAGAAGCCTAAATGCTTGACAATAGTATTCCTGAGGGTTCCGATTATAACTGTAGTATAGTAGAATATAACACCACCTCCGAAAGCATCATATTCTAATCACCAAGGCCCCAGATTACCCCAAGCTACCGAAGTTTAACCTTTTATTTCCCTGGCTTTTTGGGGAAGTAAGAAGAGGCCCATCCGCTGGAAGAGCCCCCGGGCACTTAATTCAAGGGCGGAAGAGGAGAACACTCCCTGTCATGCTATGGTTTGTTGCCACAGAGTTTAGGGCTTAAGGTTATCTCTTAACCCCGAACTGTAAACTTGTTAGTCTAGCGTTGACGACTTTCCCTGGAATAGCATAAAAAACCCCACGACAGCTTGCCCTTTACCTGTGTGTAGCCCTGTCCTAGACCCTGTCCGCCCCTTCACAGGCCCTATCCGTAGGCCCTGTCCACTCCTGTCACAGGCTCTGTCACAAGGCCTGTTCCGCCCTGTCATGGATCCTGTCATAGGCCCTGTGGACCCCTGTCACGGGCCCTGTCCATAGGTCCATAGGCCGAATAGGCCCTATCCATGGGCCCTGTCCAACCCTGTCATAGACCCTGTGGACCCAACCCCTGTCGTCGGCCCTGTCCATAAACCCTCAGGCCCTGTCCCCTGTGTCGAAGCCCCTTTCCCCTCCCCGTCCGTCGTTCCAGTGATGCAAGCTGGCCCTGCGACGCGAGCCTTTGAACCTCGAGTAGACGCTCCAGATGCAGTCTCCGTCTGTCTCTATATAGCTTAGAGCATTACGCGGGAACGGTCCTTCTGCTCCCCGCAGGCTGGCAGCCTTCCCCCTCTGTACTTCCAGGCAGCGAAACAGATAATTATGGAGTCACCTCGCAGTATACGGTCGGGTATAGGTGCTCTACAGGGCTGTCAAGGACGCACTTGCGTGGCACCGGTGTGGCAGTTCCTACACTCATGGCTCTGTCGCCTGGGAGGCGAGCACACCTACTACTACAACCGCTCCACCAACGAGACGACGTGGACTCGCCCTCGGCCCGCTGCGCTGCCGCCGCCGGCCGTCTGGATGCATTGTGTGCCGTCCGCGTCCACCTGCTTCCTCGCCCGCACGCACGCATGCACGCACCCCGCGCGCTCACGCAGACGACTCAGCTGCGAGCGCATCAATTACAAGCCTACCTGCAACGCCATAATAGCTGCTTTTAAATGTACATTACCGAATGTTGCCGAAAGTTGCATCACTTGCTGACAGTGGCATCAATTCCTGCCACACCATCAAAGTCTTGTCACTGTGTTTCAGACAGTTTCTTCGCTTGCTCAACCAAGCCCCAGCAGTCTTCAGGACATATCGCTAAGGGTGCAAACAGCACACATGTAGGCATAGCTTCCATTGTTGAATGTTAAATCTGCAGAGATGAAGCATGTTTGGAATGGCTCCCTGGCCCTTCATCTGCAGCGCCGGCAGCGGCTGCAAAGGAGACACGACGTTGCACGATTTCCGGGTTTTCTGTAGGGCTACGCCGATAGCTTTCATCAACGAAGCTATAAGTTCCCTCAAGCCACTTACCTATTTTACTTCGCAGGAGCTCTGGTGGCTACTCGTGCAGCGAGGAGCTGGTGATGGCAAACCTTGCACGCTTATACACTATGAGAAATACATTGGTCATACATGTGTGTACAGAGAGACAGAGCGTGAGACACACTGCACAGTTGAATGAAGGGGGATCCACAGCTGTATGTGCTTGTTGCATCATGAACATCAGATGGAGTTCTGCTTGAGGGCAAGTGCTCAGCTGCTTGCAAGTGTATTACATGCAGCTTTTCCGTGGTCGAGTGTTGTGAGTTGGAGCTGCTGCTTTGTGGCAGAGCTATGGCAGTGGAAGCCAAGAACCCTCTTGCAAAGGCATGGGAAAACTGTGTGGCTGTCCGGTCGAGGTTCCGTCGGAGTTTGCCGTGGTTGCAGTGGCCCATACCCGGCAAGGATGCCAAGCCCGGCCCTACATCTGCATCCCCGGACCCGCATTTTCCTTGCACTCGAGCTCTGGAGCTAAATGCAGCTGTCTTGCACAAGATGCTAGATGTGTTCTCGGGGGAGTTCCTGGACATTGCTTGGCTCACAGACGAGGTCTGTCGGTTCAATAAATGTTCAGGTTTCGGTGATTTTGCTCATTGGGTTGCTTGTGGGAATCCTGAAGATGTCCGCGCCGCCCTTGAGGTTCAGAAGCTTTTCGAGGACGTGAAATTTCAGCCCAAGTCGCCTCAGCAGGCGAATTGGGATGCATGGGATCTTCGGAGATTGTGGACGTTTCTGTGGCGCCGGTCTGGTGACGCCCAAAAGCGTGGCCAGAAACCACGGGACCGGGTGTTTTGTGACTCTGTATAGAGGTGTAAATGGCATACGTCTTCAAGTGTCAGCCTTGTGCTAATGGGTTACATGGGCAGGATCCTGCAGTTGCCCAGCTTTTCAACCGAGTGGAGAAAATCCGTTCCTCCATTGTCGAGCAGCAGATGGAAGTGGAAGGTGACACGAACGATGATGAGCTGTTCGAGAATGAGGCTCACGGTGCTGACGATGATGCACCCGTGGATGCTGTCATGGATGGCGTGGCATATGAGGGGGATGTTCCTGTGGAAGCGGCTGCTCCTGAAGCAGTGCCCATGGGTGATGCAGATGATGGTGCAACCGCCCCCCCCGTGCATCGGTATCGCTCCAAGCGCTCCCTCGAGAGCAGTACCGACTTGGCATCGCCAATGTCCGCGCTTTCATCGGATGGGAGTGAGTTTAAGGTGCCCGAGAACATGACGGAGGAGGAGAGGATGGAGCTTGCTCAGGTTCTGAATCAAATCCACGAGTTGAACCTCGAGCCATTCTGCTCATACCTGCTCACCTCATGGAGTTCCTTTTGGGATTCATTCTTGTAAGTTTTGCATCATAAGCAATTCAAAAGCACCCACCCAGGCGAAACGGTCCGGATGTGTTGTCGCCGGCCACAAGTGTGGCAGACACTTCCGTTGCCCCAACACCCCCGGCTGTGCCGTCTACTGTGGCTGCTGCAGATGAAGGCCAGGTTCATGCTATTGTTTTCGGTTTGGGCCAGGGCATGCGTGTACGCCCATACACATGGGTTGGGTTATCCTAACATTGTGGTTTTTGAGTCTTTTGAGGCAAGATGAAAGACGAAGACAAGGAGGTGATCAGCCCTGACGAGGCTCGGCCGGCTAGGGGATATTTTCCTGCACTTTGCAAATGCTTGGTGCGGTTGGTGGGGTGTCTAGTTTTGGAAACCCATGGAAAGGCTGAGACCCAAGTTCCGGACTCGGATGCTGTGCTGACATCGAGTGTGCCGAGCTCTGTGGCTGTCACCCCGAGCCCAACGAACATGGCACCACCTTCGGTGACGCCTGAGAAGGTCCCATATAATACCCGAAAATTCGTGTGTGAGGGTCCCTACTTTAGCACAGGATGATTGGCATAATCATGTAATCCCTGCTGAGGTAAACATGCCCGCCAAGGTTGCGGTTACGATCACTCCGGCGATGCAGCGTGAGAAGGCTTCTACGAAGCGTGCCAAGGGTCGTCGTGGGCCGCGCAAGGGCAAGAGCAAGCGCAAGGTGAACAAGAAGCGCAGCACGCTGCGCAAGGCCTCCGAGGAGGCCGTCGCGGGACTTGTGGGTGGCTCGGATGGGGCAGTGAAGCCTGCGCAGAAGAAGCGCAGAGTCCGGGCCAAGGAGGCCAGCACCCACGAGGCGGACATGGCTGTCGAGCCCGACGTGGAGGAGGAGGCCGAGGACATCGAGCCGGTGCCCGCGGTGCCCGAGGCAATCGAGCCCATCACTGGGGAGGATGAGAAGCCCAAGGAGGCGCCGAAGCGACGTGGACGCAAGGCCAAGGTTCCCGAGGGCGAGAGTCCGGATCACCCGGCCCAGCGCCATGTCTGGATAAGCGAGTCGAAATGGGTGTACGAGGTCTTGCCTGGGCAGAAGTATGGTTGCCCAGGTTGCCGCTTTTTGTGGTTCGGCTGCAAGGCTTGCAAGAAGGACGGCTTCAAAGGCCGCACAGCTGCAAAGCAGCTCCAGGAGCCCGATTACATCCGTGCCCTGGCGATCTTGAATGGTGACGTGGCGGCAGCCTCAGAGATCAAAGCGGCTCCAAAGGCCAAGGCCGGCAAGAGGAGCAAGCCTTCCACACCCCAGGATGAGTGAGGAGTGTGCTTGTGCAGCTACCATCCAGGTAGCGTGGCCCGCAATGAGGAACTGAAATGGTTGAGCAGTCGTTTAGAGAATGATGTTGTTGTTTTTGATGTGTGAGTCTGGTCTACATGAATTGACATATGTGTGTGTACATGATTACAGATCTACACCTACATTATGTGCAAGTATATGTACTTGTTACACGCATATTTATGCACATATGCATATAGACCTACACCAGTGTCCATCTCTTTGTAAATGCACACACATACGTGTACACATACACAGTAGATAGCTATTTCAATACGTAGGTAAATAGATAGGTAGATGAACAGATAGGTAAGTAGTCATATAGACAGATACACAGACCGAGTAGGTATGTAGGTGGTCAGATAGACAGATAGGTAGCTAGAGACGTAGATAGATAGAGTAAGAAGTCGTATCAAAACTCCATGAGAATTCAATGATATCCGGGTCCTCGTACTCTTTCGAATGCTTGGCTTGAAGGCATTTATGGGGCGGAGGGTATACATGGCTTTGGGGTTTGGGTTTGTGTAGGGACATAGGCTTTGTGTTTAAGGTTTATAGGGTTTAGGCAAACAGTGTAGGGGGCCTAGAAGCAACCCAATCGTACTGGTTCTTACAAATCCTGTGCGGTGTCGTGCTCGACTCTTTTATCCCAGGCATGGCAGCCCATGGTGCAATCCATCCGCATCCAGAGCAGCCTGCAGCGAGCAGCAGTTTCAATTTGGATGTTGTTCTCACAACACTTGTTTTGTGCGAGCTGCGCGGGCAGGGTTATCCTTGCTACTAGGGGGCGCAGCTGGGCATGGCTAGCATTGTGAAGGTTGGCACCACACACTCATGCACAAATGCACACTCTTGGGGAGGGGCTTGGTGCTAGACTCGACCAATCGTGCCATGCCAGCATCGAAGAAGTAGGCTAGATAGGGTTTGTTCCATTTGTGTCGCTACGATGCGGCTGCTTGACCAGCCTCTCTCGTGCTGAGCATCAGGCAGCAAAAATAATTGTGTCCGTCCGTCACAAGTTTATTTGCAGAAGCACTGATGGCACATGAGACCTTGATGCATTGTGCATGAATATGATATCAACCCTGCCTCCATGACAGGTCTCCGCGGTCCTTCACGATGAGTTCTGCCTGGCGCAAGCGGAGACACTTCGAGGCTGAAGGTGTGCCCTACCCCAGCTGCTATTCGAGTTGTCAGCGGTGTGATTGAAGTTTCTTCAAGCTGGTTTCATGTCGAAGGAAGTGCTTGCCCCAATGTGTGCAGTCGTCTGCTTGATGCCTGTCAGATTTTGAGTTGGAGCTAGAGTCAGCTAGAGCCTCGACCGTGCCCCAGCAATGGCAATGCCTATGGAGAAGTTCCACTGGCTAATGCACAGACTGTGGGCTATGGGAGCACCTGGGGTTCTTCACCGGCATTGGTGAGCTATAAATCTAGAGGATAAATCTAGAGGTCCTAGGGCACAAACTTTATAACAGCTCTACATCTATGTCACTAACTGCTTTGCAATGATGTACTCGAGCGAGTATGGATTGTTGGGACTGGCGTTTGGGAACTTTAAACACCTGAACCAAATGGAACCCCATATAAAAACTTCATCGGAGCTTTTCCATGATTTTGCTAGCCGGTTTTGAATCAAGCCACCCCGCCATCGAGATTGTAAACCATCAGCAGACCCAAACCCCGAAAGCCATGATCCTCCAAGCTCTTTCGCGGCGGGCTTATTCGGGGGGGTTCTTATATTGTTGTAAGGATCGTAGCTTATCAAATAACCGGGTCGTTGTGTTTGTGTTTGTACTTGAGGGGCTTCAGTCGGTCCCATCGGGTCTTTCAGAGTCGTACAGTATGTGTAAAGGATTTTCAGATCTGGGCACAGTTTCTTCGGTTCTTTGTTATTACTATCCCGGGGCGCATTGAGTCCGGATGGGTGTGGTTTCCGGAGCAGATTCCTTCCAACACTGCCAACAACAAAAACAACAACCGCAACAACAATAACAACAACGACACCAACAACACCACCAACGACAGCAATGGCACCGGCAACGACAATAAAGCAACCAACTAAAACTAAACAACCGCAACCACAACTCCCGCAATCGAACAACACACAAATACAAAGCACATCCACAACCACGACCACGACCACAAACAACTATACCAAGAAAACATGCAACCACGAACAGAAATAAAATCACTACCGACTCCGTAGTCCATATATGTAGGCTGCTGCTGCTGCTACGCCTACTCCTACTCCTGCAGTGCTGTTGCTGCTGCTGTTCGTACCTTGCTCCCTCCGAATGCCACGACTTACCAGTACTAGTACTAGTACTAGT